GCTTTGGTGTCAGAGTAATGCAGGCTTCATAGAATGAGTTTGGAAGTATTTTGTTTGTAAGCATTTGAGCAGTATTGTGTTCTCTCTCTCTCTCTCTTTTTTTTTTTTTTTTTTTTTTGAGACAGAGTCTTGCTCTGTCACCCAGGCTGGAGTACAGTGGCTCGATCTCGACTCACTGCAACCTTTGCCTCCTGGGTTCAAGCTATTCTCCTGCCTCAGCCTCCCAAGTATCTGGGATTATAGGCATGTACCTCCACACCTGGCTAATTATTATTATTATTATTATTTTTTTTTTTTGAGACAGAGCTTCGCTCTTGTTACCCAGGCTGGAGTGCAATGGCGCAATCTCGGCTCACTGCAACCTCCGCCTCCTGGGTTCAGGCAATTCTCCTACCTCAGCCTCCTGAGTAGCTGGGACTATAGGCATGTGCCACTATGCCCAGCTAATTTTTGTATTTTTAGTAGAGACGGAGTTTCACCATGTTGACCAAATGCTGATCTTGAACTCCTGTCCTCAAGTGATCTGCCCACCTCAGCCTCCCAAAGTGATGGGATTACAGGCATGCGCCACCACTCCCAGCTGTTAATTCTTTTTTAAATGCTTGGCAGAATTATCTAGTGAAGACATTTGGTCCTGGGCTTGTCTTTATTGGAAGCTTTCTTTTATCGATGCAATCTTACTAGCTGTAGGTCTGTTCAGATTTTCCATTTCTTCATGATTCAGTCTTGATAGGTGTGTGTTTCTAGGAATTTATTCTTTTTCTCTAGTTATCCAATTTGTTGGTATACAATTGTTCACAGAATTCTCTTATAATCATTTTAATTGTTGTGATATTGAAGCTCCCTTGCCCCTCAGGCATTTGAAGACAGAGTGAAAAGATGGCTCTTTATGAACCAAGAAGCTGGCACTCCCCAGATACTGAATTTGTATTTGTATCTGATCTTAATTACTTACATTATCTTTTTTTATTTCTCAGTCTAGCTAAGGTTTGTCCTTTTTTTATGAGGTGGAGTCCCACTCTGTCGCCCAGGCTGGAGTGCAGTGGCACAATCTCTACTCACTGCAACTCCCGCCTTCTGGGTTCAGGTGATTCTCCTGCCTCAGCCTCCCGAATAGCTGGGATTACAGGTGCCACCACCATGCCTGGTGAAGTTTGTATTTTTAGTAGACATGGGGTTTCACTATGTTGACCAGGCTGGTCATGAACTCCTGACCTCAGGCAGTCTACCCTCCTTGGCCTCCCAAAGTGCTGGGATTACAGGTATGAGCCACCATGCCTGGCAAGTTTGTTCATTTTTTTTTTACTTTTTCAGAAAACCAACTTACATTCTTTATTTTATTTATCTTTGCTCTAATCTTTATTATTGTCTTTCTTCTGGCAGCCTAGGGTTTATTATTATTATCTTTTGTTTCTTGATCCTCCCACCTCAGCCTCCCATGTAGCTAGGACTATAAGCACACGCTATCATGTTGGGCTAAATTTTAAATTTTTCTGTAGAGATGGGAGGGGGTCTCACTATGTTGCCCAGGCTGGTCTTGAACTCCTGGCCTTAAGTGTTCCTCCACCTTGGCCTCCTAAAGTGCTGGGATTACAAGCATGAACCACCATGTCTAGCTGGTTTTATTTTGATTTTTCTCCAGATATTTTCTAATTTTATTTTTTATTTCTTTGATCAATTGGTTATTTAAGAATGTGTTGTCTTTTCTTGTTTTCCTCCTGCTGTTAATATCTAGTTTCATTCCATTGTGATCAGAAACTATATTTTGTATGAATTCAGTGTTTCAAAATTTGCTTAGACTTGTTTTGTGGCCTAACATATGGTCTGTCCTAGAGAATAATCTGTGTGCACTTGAGAAAAATGGTATTTTACTGTTATTGGGTGGAGTGTTTTGTATAAGTCTGTTATGTCGACTTTCTTTATAGTATTGCTCAGATCCTCTATTTCCTTATTGATCTTCTATCTGGTTTTTCTATATATTATTGAAAATAAGAGTATTGATGCCTGACAAAGATAAGGGAATTAAAAAGTTAAAATAAAAATAAAGAATATAGTGGCCGGGCATGGTGGCTCACGCCTGTAATCCCAGCACTTTGGGAGGCCGAGGCGGGTGAATCATGAGGTCAGGAGTTCGAGACCAGCCTGGCCAAGATGGTGAAACCCCGTCTCTACTAGAAATACAAAAATTAGCTGGGTGTGGTGGTGGGTGCCTATAATCCCAGCTACTCGGGAGGCTGAGACAGGAGAGTCGCTTGAATCCAGGAGGGGGAGATTGCAGTGAACCGAGAGCATGCCATTGCACTCCAGCCTGGGCGACAAGAGCGAAACTCTGTCTCAAAAAAAAAAAAAAAAAAGAAAAAACATACTACTTGAAGTCAAAAGATACTGGGTTGGTAAAAGAAGAAAAAAGAGGAAAAAAAAAAGAAAATAAGGGTAGTGGTATCTCCCACTATTATTGTGTTTATTTTCATTTCTCCCTTCAATTTTGTCAATGTTTGGCTTATACCTTTAGGAGCTCTGATGTTTGGTAACTAATTGTTTATAATTGTTATATATTCTTGGTAAATTGATTCTTTTTAAAAATTGACTCTTAAGATCATATAATGTCTTTCTTCATCTCATGGTATTTTTTTCTCTTAAAGTCTGTTTTGTCTAATATATATATATATATTTTGAGACGGTGTTTCACTCATGTTACCCAGGCTGGAGTGCAATGGCGCAATCTCGGCTCACCACAACCTCCGCCTCCTGGGTTCAGGCAATTCTCCTGCCTCAGCCTTCTGAGTAGCTGGGATTACAGGCATGTGCCACCATGCCCAGCTAATGTTTTGTATTTTTAGTAGAGACAGGGTTTCACCATGTTGACCAGGATGGTCTCGATCTCTTGACCTCGTGATCCACCCGCCTTGGCCTCCCAAAGTGCTGGGATTACAGGCGTGAGCCACCGCGCCCGGCCTGTTTTGTCTAATATTAGTGTAGCCAACTTTGCTCTCTTTTTGTTACAATTTGCATGAAATAGATTTTTCCATCATTTTACTTATAACCTATGATCTGATATTAGTCTTCTGTAGACAGCAAATAGTTGGATCCTGTTTATTTATTTTTTTTATCCATTCAGCCTATCTATGTCTTTTAATTGGGGAGTGGTATAGACTGAATATTTGTTCCCCCACAAAATCTATATGTTGAAACTTAATCCCCAATATGATAGTATTTGAAGATGGGGGTCTTTGGGAGGTTACTATAAGGGGAGTTCACATGAATGAGACCAGCAACCTTATAAAAGAGACTCCAGTGAGCTCCCTTGACCCTTCAGGCATGTTGAAGACAGAGTGAAAAGATAGCTGCTTATGAACCAAGAAGTGGGCTCCCCCGAGAAGTGGGCTCCCCCGAGATGCTGAATTTGTATTTGTATCTCCCTTCTCTCATAGAGAGATCCTTCGTCCCCCACATATCAGCATATTTACTTATTTGCCCCATCTTATAATACACACAAAACAACGTCAACATTATTATCAATAACAATACTAAAATAAGCCTAGTATGTAAAGTTCAAGATTTCTTTGAAGCTCCTTTTGTCCTTAGAATGTCTTCCTTAGGATGTAGAGTCACTTTGCTAGTTCAAAAGCTACTTGAATGAATTTTCCACCACTCTGTGGTTATATTATAAATTTGTTATACTGTTAGGTTTATGTATTTCTTTTTATATTCACTTTAGGTTATCTGTTTTTTTGAGATGGGGTCCCACTTTGTCACACAAGTTGAGGTGCAGTGGCACAATCTTGGCTCACTGCCTCCCAGGCTCAAATGATCCTCCAACTTCAGTTTCCTGTGCAGCTGGGACCACAGGCACGTGCCACCATGCCCAGCTAATTTTCTGTATTTATAGTAGAGATGAGGTTTCACCATGTTCCCCAGTCTGATCTCAAACTGGTCTCAAATTCCTAGGTTCAGCTGATCCACCCACCTCGGCCACCCAAAGTGCTGGTATTGCAGGTGTGAGCCACCATGCATGGCCTCACTTTAAGGTATGTTTTAATTTGTTTTTAAAATTTGTTGATTCCATATGGTTCAAAGTCAAACCTATATTTAAAAAATTAAACACAGAGAAGTATCATTACCATTCCTGTTCCTTCATTCCATTACACCTCCCTATTCTTAACATTTTCACTGGAAAAACATTTATGCCTCCTGTTTGTTTTTTGCCAAATTAAGCAAATCACTCTCTCTCTCTGTGACACACACATACTTATTTTCTCTTTTCATCTTATGCAAAAGTAGCATACCACGTATACTGTTTATTACCTTGCTTTTATTCCTGAATATTGATATATTCTGGACATTATATTGTTCATAGAGACCTTTCTCATTTTTTTTTAACAATTATATTGTACACCATTGACACTGCTCAGTAGATTCACCATATTTCATTCAGTCTCAGCTGATCACCATTGGGTTGTTTTCTAGTTATTTTATTATAAATGATGTCACAATAAATAACTGTGTATATAATGTTATATTTGTGAAGGTATATATTTAAATTCTTAAAGATGGAATTGCTAGTTCAAAAGACAAATGCATACATCATGCTTTGAAGATATTGCCAAATTCCTTCCATTGTGGTTCTACCATGTTTTTCCCTCCTACAAACAATATATGAGAATGCCTGTTTTTCCACAGCCTTATTAACAGAGCCTATTGTCAGTTTTTTTTTTTTTGAATGTTTGTCCATCTGATTGATGAAAAATGGTATCTCAATGTGGTTTTAATTTGTATTCTTGTTATGGATGAAATTAAGCAAGTTATGTTTAAAGCCCTTTTAAATTTTTGTTTTATACATTTGCAGTACTGTACTATATTTATCAATACCATAAATTTATATCATCTGTTTTTTTAACTTATATTTTAAGTCCAGGGGCACAATGCAGGTTTGTTATATAGGTAAATTTGTGTCACAGGGGTTTATTGTACAGATTATTTCGTTACCCAGATATTTTTTCTTTGAGGATACAGAAGACATTTATTCAAAGTCCAGGTACAGACTGGCCAACCTGCCTCTACAGCGAACACAGGGCTACAGAGAAGGGAAGAGTTGGTTATAAAACGGTTTTAATCGGTTCTCTCAGCATCGCGAGCCATCTGGACGGCAATGGAATGTGCGTGAGGTCCCTGCAGCTCCGCGGTCAACCGAGCCTGGAATTGCGCTAGCAAAATATATATCTGTGTCTCCATAAAAATCCGCGTCGCTGCCTCTCGTGTCTCACAACAGGTATAAAAAATTATAAATATTTACACCCTCGTTACACTCTCCTTTACGGAAAGGGGATCCCAGGAGCCCCCGGGACAGGCCGCGCAGAGGCGGGGGAAGAGCACAGCGAAGTCGAGACCAACGACTGCCTTCCGGGTCCCAGCATCAGAGACAGGCAAAAAACAGAAATGAGACTTTGGTCCAAAATTTGAAGGAAAAAACCCCTGAAGAAGTTTGAGAGCAAGTTTTCTAGGCGATTGCAGGTGAAGGTGTGGTGTAAGGCAACCGGAGGCGATGCCAGAGGTCGGCGGCGCGCCCGCCCCTTCCCGGAAGCTCGGGGCTGAGATCGGACCAGGGCTCCCTGTGACTGACCCTCCGGGCGGCCCCGTCTGCTCTCTGGAAACTGGGTCCCGCCTGTGACTTAATGACAAGGAATAAAACAAAACAGCATACAAGGTAATACCGCGAGAAAGTTTAGATTACACTCATACCATTGTATCATCTTGCTATAAAAAGTTACTTAAAACTATTTCTTTTGCATTTAATTGAAAAAAGGATTAGAATATTTGGTCAGCTGGAAATATTGCTAGTCACAGACGTCTGCAACTGCAAAGTACATAATACAGAGATTATGACGAACAGCTCCGCAGCTGAAAGCAGCAGCGGGCACCTGGGGTGCCAGCCAGCGCCTGGGGGCAGAGGGGAAGGTCCTGGGGGCAGGGCGGGCGGGCGGGCAAAATCACATCACTTGATTAGAGGGCGGGGGTTGGGGTGTAGCAGGCCGTGGCTGCCACACCCAGGCACATGATCCTGCAGGAGCCTGCTGGGCCCCCTGCCTTTCTCTGAAGTGTGACCCCTGCCCCTTGGGTCCCCAGGACACCCAGGGTGGGTGCGTGGCCGTATGAAGGCAGGTTTTTTAAGGCACAAGGAAGCCGAGTCGTGGTTGGGGCGTCCACCCGTAGGCCCCATGCCCGACAGGCCCCACCAAGGCACGGCCCGAGGGTCTGGCCGCGGGTCGGCGGGCCGGGAGCTCCTGCTGCCACAGTCACCAAGAGCCTGAGCGGTCACCCGTCACCGCAAGGTTAGCAAGGTGAGCTAGATTTAATTTTTTAAGAAACAGGTAAAATGATTTCTCTTTAAAAAAATAAAATCTCTGGTCTGTTAAGGTCACTTCAGCTGCTTTTTAAAGTGGCTTTTCTCCGGAATGATGGAAGTTGTCGCCAGGGGACCCGGCCGTGGGGGGGCTCGTGCCCCTAGATGGTGGACTTGGAGAAGGAGACCCGCAGGTGGTGGCTCTCCCTGAGGTCGTGGTTGTGCAGGTCAATGAGGGCCTGGACAGCCACCTCGCCGGAGCCCATCTGGATCAGCGTCATCTTGCGGTCCTTCTGGAAGAACTTGAATCCTTTGACGAGGCCCCCATTGCTGGAGAAGAGGACCTTGAGATCTTCCTCGGACACTGAGGGCGGGATGTTGGAGAGGTGCAGGGTGGCCGACGGTGGGAATATGTTCTGGAAGTTCTTGAAGCCCGGCTTCTTGAAGCGGTGCAGGGGCGAGCTGCCATAGTCCTTGGCCAGGCTCTGGTCCTCCTGGCCCTCGCGAGGAAGCTGCACGTTCTGATGCTTCGGGAGTGTGATGCGGATGGGCTTCCCGTGCAGCTTGTGCCAGTTCAGGTGGCTCACGGCAAGCTGGGCCTGGTTGTCGTCCGCCATCTGCACCAGGGCATTCTCCTTCTTATTGAACAGGATCTTTATGCGCTGCACATCGCCGTAGACGCTGAAAAGAATAAAGAGGCTTTGGGGTGTGATTCTCTCTGGGTTGAGGTTGCTGACCAGCAACACAGAATTTCCTGCCCCAACCAGGCCGGGAATGGCTATCCGGACTGCCGCCGCAGCTGCCGCCGCTGCCGAGGGAATGGCCAGGGGCGCCAGGGCTCCGTGGACGTTGGGAACAGAGAGGCCGAAGGCCGTGGCCATGGTCTGGTCCAGCGAGGGCTGGCTGTCCCCGGAGGGCAGGTCTGGGCGCGTGTAGTCACGGCTCTTGTCGTTGTTGTACTTGACGTTGAGGCTGGTGAGCTTGGAGAAGTCAATGCGCAGCGTGCAGCAGGCGTTGTAGATGTTCTGCCCGTCCAGAGACAGCTTGGCAGGCTGGGCGCTCACGGGGTCCGCGTACTGCAGCAGGGCCTGGAACTGGTTGTTCTTGGCGAAGGTGATGATCTTCAACACCGTGCCGAACTTGGAGAAAATATGGTGCAGCACGTCCAGGGTCACCTGGTAGAAGAGGTTCTCCATGATGATCCTCAACACGGGGCTCTGCCCGGCCATCACTATCCCTGTGTCCACAGCCGCTGCCTAGGAAGCCAAAGCCAGGTTCCCCGACTGGACCGAGTTCACGGCCTGCAGGGCCGCCTGGACGCGTGCCTGGTTGGGAGAGCTGTCAGTCTTCAGCTCCTTGTGGTTGGAGAACTGGAGGTAGATGGGCTGGCCGCACAGCACGGGTGTCACGGAGGTGTAGTAGTTCACCATGGTGTTGGCAGCCTCCTCTGTGTTCATCTCGATGAAGGCCTGGTTTTTCCCCTTCAACGTCAGGAGATTGGTGACCTTCCCGAAGGGCAGCCCCAGGGAGATGACCTCCGCTTTGGTGACATCGATGGGGAGCTTCTGAATGTAGATCACTCTGGAGGGGATGCCGGCACGTTTGCTATCACCTTTGAACTTCTTGCTGTCATTTCCATTTGCTGCAGAAGCTGATTTGCTGCTCATGATAAACAGTCCTTTGGTGACACAAGTAGAGAAAAGCTCGTCAGATCCCCGCTTTGTACCAACTGCTACATCTGGGACAATGCCTCCATGGCACACAGAGCAGACCCCCGGGGGATGGAGTGGAGGCGCTGGAATACCACCCAGGTATTAAACCTAGTACCTATTGGTTAACTTTTTCCGATCCTCTCCGTCCTCCCATAAATCTCAGTGTCTTTTGTTCCCTTCTGTGTGTCCATGTGTTCTCATCATTTAGCTCCCACTTAAAAGTAAGAACATGGAGTATTTAAGTCTCCTTCCTGCATAACTTTGCTAAGGACAATGGCCTCCAGCTCCATCCATGTTCCTGCAAAAATGTGATTTTATTATTTTTATGGCTGCATAGTGTTCCATGGTGTATATGTACTACACTTCTTTATCCAGTCTACCGCTGATGAGCATTTAGGTTGATTCCATGTCTTTGCTGTTGTGAGTAGTTCTGCAGAAAACATGCATGTGTCTTTATGATAGAATAATTTATATTTCTTATTCCTTTGGGCATATACTCAGTAATGGGATTGCTGGGTGGAATGGTAGTCCTGTTTTTAGCCCTTTGAGGAATCATCACACTATTTTTGACAATGGTTGAACCAATTTACACTCCTACCAACGGTGTGAAAATGTTCCTTCTTCTCTGCAATCTCACCAGCATCTGTTATTTTTTGACTTTTTTTTTTTTTGAGAAAAGGTCTCACTCTGTCCCCCATGCTGGAGTGCAGTGGCATGATCACAGCTCACTGCAGCCTTGACCTCCTGGGCTCAAGTTATCCTCATGCCTCAGGCTTCTGAGTAGCTGGGATTTTAGGTGGGTGCCACCACACTGGCTAATTTTTGTATTTTTTGTAGAGATGGGGTCTTGCCATGTTGTCCAGGCTGGTCTCAAACTCCTGGGCTCAAGTGATCCTCTTTGGCTTCCCAAAGTGCTAGGATTATAGGCATAAGCCACTAAGCCCAGCCAATTGTGGACTTTTTTTTCCTTTTTTGAGACAGAGTTTTGTTCTTCTTGCCCAGACTGCAGTGCAGTGTCATGATCTTGGCTCACAGCAATCTCTGTCTCCTGGGTTCAAGTGATTCTCCTGCCTCAGCCTCCCAAGTAGCTGGGATTACAGGCATGTGCCACCAAGCCTGGGTAATTTTGTATTTTTAATAGAGATGTCTTTTCTTCCTTCTTTCCTTCCTCCCTCCCTCCTTCTCCCTTCCTTCTCTTCCCTTCCCTTCCCTTCCCTTCCCTCTCCCTTCCCTCTCCCTTCCCTCTCCCTTCCCTTCCCTTCCCTCTCCCTT